TTCAGTTTGATCCTTGTGTTTTGCTGACATCCGCGGTCACCGCCGGCGTCGCCGGTCAATACATCATCCACGCAATTGTTTTGCTCCTCTGTCCTCTTCCAAGAAAACCACGCAAGGGAGCTCCGCGGAAACGTCGCCGCCACCGATGAGATGACTACAAGACATGACTTCTGCTCCATGTTCTTCTTTCGCAGCAGCCGCGACCACGTCAATGTCCCCATAAGCCACCATCCTGCCGCTAACGCCCTCCTGCTCCCGCGTTGCGGCAGGGCGAGGCGGCGTCGGCGAGCGAGCGCAGTGTCGGCGGCGGCTGCGACGTGAGGCGACGCTGCAACGCCGGGAGCGTTGTAGTAGGCGTTGAGGAGCGCCGCCGTGGCCTCCCGCAGCAGCGTCCGATAGATGTCTCCCCTCCCGTCCAGCGCCTCCCGCAGCGTCATGTCGGGGCCGTACCTCTGCGTGGCGACGGGGCCGAACACCATGGCCACAGGCGGCGAGGGTGAGCGGCGCCAGATGGGCGGTAGGCGGCGAGGCCTGCGGCGCCAGAGTGGCGGGAAAGGGGCAGCTGGCGAGGACATGGGGGGCGGCGCGAGGCCTCTGCTTCCTGCTCTTCGCGACGTCGCCGCCACCGCCGCCGTACTGGAGCAGAGCTGAATCCTCCTCGTCCTTCTTCTTTTGCTCCGGCTTCTCAAACGTCTCCGCCTTGACCGGTGAGCGCCACATGCCGGTGTCGCGTGAGAGCATCAGGAGGCCGAGCGCGACGTCCTCCTGCTCCTTCTCGAACCCGCCCAGCACTGGCCGCGGTGGCACGGGCGCCGACGCCGCCCATCGACCGCCACCTCCGCCTCCGCGTGATCACAGTCACGTGGGGAGGAAAGGAGAGTGAGAGGATGACGTGCCATCCTAACATGTGGGCCCACGTGGGTCCCACGCTGACTCAGCCGCCATGTCAGCCAAAACTGGGGTCAAAACCGCTGAGGGACCTAGTTTGCACTGGTTTTGTAAGTTGGGGGATGCGCGGTTTTGCGGTTAGGGGACTATTTTGTAACTCGATGGCAAGTTGAGGGACCTTCGGTATACTTTTTCCAGGAAGAGAAAGGTCCGGATAATGTGCAAATGGAATATTGCATCGGTATAGAATTGCCTTGCCATGGCCCACAGGCCCAGTAGGCGATAGTCCAACTAGAGCCCAAAAAACCGGAGTTCAGAAGTTCTCGCAAATTCCGAAGGCTTAGCCCAACTCAACATTTTGCTGTCTCGCGTTTCCGCGGCATATCTCCATCAGCTTTCAGCTCTCTGACCAGTGCCGCCCACTACCCAGCAGGCAAAATGCTTGAAGCGAAGTATCAGGTGTGTGTCAGTTGGGTCTCGTGCGGTGAAGTCCCCGCTAAGCAAAGGCCAAAGGGCGAGAGGATCCCGTACGTGGAGTATGCGAACGCCGCATCGCTCTGCGGTCTGCACCACACAGACACAGGTAACAGGTTGCTCTCCCACTCACCTTTGTGCAGCGCGTCAAGCGAAAGCCATCTCCCATTCCTTGACGCCATCGGCAACCCGCGCCGCGCGCACATTGCCGTAGCCCAACCCCACGCTATATGGTCCCATGCACAACGACGTCGCCGGTCTCGGGTTGCTTCCACTTGCCTAGATACGACGCGCCAAGGAAGATGACGCGTCGCGCTGATGATCTCCTGGTTGCCGGAACGCTCGTCATCTCCATCGTCTTCTTCAGGTGCGCCGCTGCCGTGGCAGCCACCGAGTATGTCCGGCCTCCCCCCGGGCGGGTCATCTTCACTGAGCACACCAAGCCCGCCTCACATCCTCAACAGGTATACTACGTACACAAATGCGAGTTCTTGAGGATGCGTTCTATATTCGTTTAGGGAAATGACGATCGATGATTGATCCGTTTGTATCTAGGTTCATGTGTCGCTCGTCGGGGCGAACCATATGAGAGTGTCATGGATCACGGAGGACAAGCACGTCAAGTCCGTGGTGGAGTATGGCAAGGTCTCCGGGAACTACACGGCGTCGGCCACCGGCGAGCACACATCCTACCGCTACTTCCTCTACTCCTCCGGCAAGATCCACCACGTCAAGATCGGACCGCTGGATCCCGGCACGGTGTACTACTACCGGTGCGGCATGGCCGGCGACGAGTTCGGCCTCAGGACCCCGCCGGCCGCGCTCCCAGTCGAGCTCGCCGTCGCGGGGGATCTTGGGCAGACCGAGTGGACGGCGTCGACGCTGTCCCACGTCGGCAGGTCCGACTACGACGTGCTGCTGGTTCCCGGCGACCTGTCCTACGCCGACGCCCAGCAGCCGCTGTGGGACTCGTTCGGCCGGTTCGTGCAGAAGTACGCGAGCCGGCGGCCATGGATGGTCACCGAAGGGAACCACGAGGTGGAGGCCGCGATGGCGCTCCCGGGCTGGCCGCGGCCGTTCACGGCGTACGCCGCGCGGTGGCGGATGCCGTACGAGGAGAGCGGCTCGGGGACCAGCCTCTACTACTCCTTCGACGCCGCCGGCGGCGCCGTCCACGTCGTCATGCTCGGCTCGTACGCCGACTTCAACTCGAGCTCGGAGCAGTACAGGTGGCTGGCCCGCGACCTCGCCGCCGTCGACCGCGGCGCGACGCCCTGGGTCGTGGTGCTGCTGCACGCGCCCTGGTACAACACGAACGCGGCGCACGAGGGGGAGGGCGAGGCCATGAGGAAGGCCATGGAGCGCCTCCTCTACGAGGCCCGCGTCGACATCGTCTTCGCCGGCCATGTCCACGCCTACGAACGCTTCGTGAGTTCGATTTTGATCAGCGCCATTGCTCGAACGGTTGATCACACGTACAATTCTCAACTAAGCAGTGCACGTCTTGACTTTGTCGCTGCAGACAAGGGTATATAACAACGAGGCGAACCCGTGTGGACCGGTGCACATCACCATAGGCGACGGCGGCAACAGGGAAGGCCTCGCATTTGAGTAAGCACTAAACATTAACACCGGCAAAATAACTTACAAATCTTGATAGCTAACCATAGCTCACGGCTAAATCTGGTTGGATATCAGCTTTCGGAAGAACCACAAGCTGGCGCCGCTCTCGTTGATGAGGGAGGCGAGCTTCGGGCACGGGCGGCTGAGCGTGGTGAACGCGACCGCCGCGCGCTGGACGTGGCACCGCAACGACGACGCCGACTCCACCGTGCGCGACGAGATCTGGCTGGAGAGCCTGGCTGCCAACGGCGCGTGCCAGCAGAGTAGCAGCGCCGCCGCCGCCGCGGACTCTCAGAACGACGAGTTGTAGCATTGCACATTGCTTGATATTAATTCAACAAATTAATTTGATAGCGCTCTTAATTTGCTTGTCACGTGCCGGTGAACCTGGGTGCTTACTTTACGGGCAAACAATGCATTTGTACCATAGTGTGGTTAGTGGCCAGTAGTGCTTAGGCCGGCGGCATTTGCCGTGCCTCTGATAGCTAGAACGAACAACTTCTGTGCCTGTTTGTGGGTGTAATCATGGTTGTTACCATTCCAGATTTCCTGTGTGATGTGCTTTGCACGCTAGTTCTGCCTACCCTTGAACTCAATAATTAAAATGTTCGTCCATAGACACACGGTAGTCATATATGTGCGCGGACGCGCTAGCTTGTTAAGAATTTCGTATATTGGTGTGGTTGGGCAATGCAGTTATGACTCATCGAAGTAGTGGTTTCCCAAACCGCTGGAGCCAGATTACCGCGCCCTGTCGGTAAGCACTGTAACCGCGGTAACCGTGACAAACCGTATAGTAAAATTTATTAAAATTTTAAATTATTTTTTAAATTTATTTGAATTTAAGGAGGTTACCACGGTTTTTCTCTTACTGTACTCTACGGTAACCACGCGAACCGGCGGTTTTGGAAACCCTTCATTGAACTTGAACCAATGCATAAACAGCATATCAGATCAATCAGAGAAACCAGAAGCTAGAATAACAATTAGAGACAGTATGTGACAAAAAAGTATTGGTCAATCTTACATTGTGTCAAATTGTGAACGTCTGTGTACACTACTAAATTGTCAACATTAGTAGTACATATGCCGGCTTGGCGGCCATGACACACGACGGGACGGGGTCGCCGGCTCGCCGCCGGGGCGCGCCGACACCGGCCACCTCGCGCACCGGGTGGCGCGCTCCCGCAGCCACGCACGGCCGGTGCACACACCCTGCGCGCGTGCAGCCTGGTGTAGCGCCTACTCCCCGACGACGAGGACGTCGACCCGGCGTCTTCGTCGACGCCGCATGAGCCGGCGCCGGCGCAGGAAGAGGAGGAAAGCGAGGAGGCCGAGCAGCAGGGCGAGGCGGCGGAGTTGGCGTCCGCGTCGCCGCCGCTGCCGCCTTCTCGTCTCGCGTGCATGCGCTGGCGGGAGCCGACCGCGCAGAGGCTCATCCTCGCCGGTCGGCCGCTGCAATCGCTGTTGTCTCCTCTCCGCCGGCGACCCTCCAACCTCCATCGCTGCTCCTACCCTTACGCCATGGCCGGCAACCTCACGACCAGAGCATGCGGCGTTATATTACTGTAACTCCGCTGCGAAAGCAAGCTGTCATCTTGCAGCGAAGCGACGCAAGGAATACGACTACCAGGACTGGATCGAGTTAATGGCTAATGGTGATCGCCTGATCGGTAACGATGCTATGTGGCTCGCGTCGCGCCGAGAAGAGGGCGGAGATGATCAAAAGGCGTCAGCGCGAGGCCGGACCAGGAATCCAGCAGGGAGACAGGGGTGCGTGGCGTTTGTTTCAAGGTTCGGCAAGGAATCCCGTCGCGATACAGGACCGGACTTCTGAAAAGGAGAACAGGACCAGACTTCGTTGATGAGAGGGCCTGCAAAGACTGAACGGATTTTTGTTTGTCACGTTGTACTGAACCAAAGTGCGCTGGGGTCAACCGGCAAACTGATCAAGTTGGTTGCATCTCCTTTTTTTTTTCCAGATAGTGAATACAAATGAGTCATGACACACATAATTGTTTCAATTTCAGAATTTCTTAGCAGCCACTACATAAATACATAAGCAAATAGAGTACGTAACAAATTAAGCTTCAGTGTTCAACTTTTATTCTCAAACACGATTACAAAAGAGGATATAGGATTGCAACGACACGATTTTGAAGTTTGAACCGGGCAATCTCATCCTAAATCACGGCACTGACAAGTGAGAAACACTTTGTTCCCTTCCCAGCGTTTGCTCGTTCGACGACGACTAACACGCGACAATTATCACCAAATCTTTTATTCTTTGAACTACCACTAATAACCGTAGCAGCAGCTAAGCACGTATATATTACTATATTAGTTTATATAGGTAATTAAACACCGAGAAAAAACAGCTCTACGACTTCGCTTTCTCACCTCACTTCTTGCAGACCAGGCCGGCGCTGCCCTTCCCGCTGCCGCAGAGCGCGTCGGCCGGCGCGTCGACCATGCCAACGGACGAGGCGAGCGCGCCGTCCTCGCCGGCGAAGCGCGCCACCTCGCAGTCCGTGGCGAAGATGTCGGAAACGGCGTACTTCCCGGCGCTACCCATGACCGGGATCTTGGCGCCCACGTCCACGCCGGCGCTGACGTAGTCGGGGCGGTAGGTCTGGCCCAGCACGCCGTGCACGTCGGCGCTGATGGAGTAGAACTTGAACGCCACATTGAGGTGGGCGAGGCTGTCGTCGGCGGTGAGGCCGTAGCCGTGGATCCTCGAGTCCTCCTCCGTGACGGGCACCGCGTTGGCGACGATGCGGAACCGGCCGTCGAGGCGCACCACCACGCCGTTGGCCGGGCCGGTGCGGAAGACCGAGAGCGCCGGAACGGAGGCTGGGCTCCAGCTGGCGGCGGGGACGGCGTCCAGCTCGACGGGCGCGCCGTCGAAGGTGATCACGAGGCGGTCGACGGCGGCGTCCCACCTGACGGTCCTCCTGACGCCGAGGTAGAGGCGGTGGCCGCCGAAGCGGATGCCGAGGGCCTGCACCCAGGTGAAGTCCCGTGCCGCCGCCGCGTTGCGCTTGCCGATGAAGTGCGCGTTGATGTGCAGGTTGGCGTCGGAGAGCAGGCAGAAGTCGGCGTCCTTGCGCCCGTGGAACAGGAACTTGTTGCCGTCGCCGCCGACGAACCGCGGGTCGTAGCACTCCGTGCCGGTCAGCTCACACACTGCATGCACCAGTCACAGTCCAAAACCCGACATGCAAAACCGATCATCAAAAACCACCCCAAACGTAACGCGCCTACCTACTATTACCATGCATGATATGCATTCTGTTTTGAACTTTTTGATGCGTTTTCTTACGGCAGACGAGCTTGCAGGTGGGGCAGTGAACGTAGCACATGTCGCGGCAGCCGCGCGGGCACGCGCGCGGCTCGACCGTGCAGTCGGGGCCCGACGCCGTGTTGTTCTGGTTGTAGCAGCTCGCCACGGTGGGCGACGAGCCGGGGGTCATGTAGATGGGGATCACGTTGGGGTCCCTCAGGATGGGGCTGTCCGGGCTCAGCGGCTGGGCGCCCACCGCGACGACGAGGAAAGCGGTGGCGGCGAGCAGCAGCGCCGCCGCGGACGGCCGGACGGGCACCATCTCCGGTGAGAGATTGATCGAGCCGGTGAGATAGTTGTTAGGGGGGTGAGATAGTTGTTAGGGGGGTGAACGCACGTTAGTGGTTGTGATACGATGGAACAGGCTCGCGCGCTTTTTTATAGGCGGGGTCTATTGGTGGCATATTGAGCTCTGACCAAGCGTGTGTCGTTGGAATTAAGCATGGCTTTTTCGCCAATCAAGTCTGGGGAAGTCAACTTCTCTCTCACTCGCGCGGCGAGCTCCACATGAAACGATTCCACGCTTGACATCCCGGCCAACGGAATGCGGTTGCTTGTTCTTGATCTTGGTTTCGAGTACAATCTTCTCTACGTTATGGCAACCGCAGGATCCACCCTTATCAGCCTGTTCCAAAGTTATTTATATTTTCCTTTTCTCCCTAACTCACCCTTATCAGCCTGTTCCATAGTTATTTATATTTTCCTTTCCTCCCTAACGAAAAATAAAGTGTTTATCTGCTTGTCCATCTTGATTCTAACGCAAAAACGTAAATCCAATACTCCCATTCTTCCAATACTCACATCCATTTTTTTTTTTGGGGGGGGGTTGGGTTGGGGGGGGGGGGGTACCTGAACAATCTTTCCACACTAGACTTAAACGCCGAGAATATGTCCTAACCCAAGTGAGCATGGCCACAAAGGTTCAACGAATCTTCAGGAATGCGGTTTTGAGTGGAATAACTGATGAAGACACGAGTACGGTGTAATCTTCATCGTGAGGCGTAAAGCATGACCTGGGACGCACGTGTTATTGTCCATGAAAACACACTAGATCTCAAGTTGCTATCTTGCTTCAGGATGTTGCTCCAAGAAATCTAATAGGCTATTCCGGATATCTGGATCAATGTACTTCAACAATACCGTACTGGATTGAGTGTACCAGCTAATTAGTAATTACTCTACTGACAACGAAAACAATCCAGGCAATAGTGGAAAAATTACAGATCATTTGGTTGGCTATGGTAAGTTCACAAGGCACAGCAAGATGTATGAGTGTATTAGGAGCAATGGCTCCACGGTTTTGACTTCCTGGATCTCACATTAGACTCGCAGCTATGACTGTGTTTAGTTACTGAAAAAAGTTGAAAGTTTGGGGAAAGTTGGTAGTTTGGAAAAAAAAAAGTTAGGAGTTTATGTGTGTAGGAAAGTTTTGGATGTGATGTGATGTGATGGAAAGTTGGAAGTTGGGGGTGGAGCCTATGTATAAATGCAAATTGTACTGGTTAGCAGGTGCGATTGTTGGTTTGGAGACAGCATACTGTGGAAAGGAACGAGTGCATGCCCATGGCCAATAATATACCATATGCTACACTGGTTTGCAAATCAGAAAACGAAAACTAACCTACCAAAGGAACCACCTCTTCCTGACTGCAGGAGTTGTCTCTTGCACTGGAGAACTTTGGCTCCCTCTTTTTACGATTCCACTGTTCAGCGCTTCCAACCTTTTCCTGCAAAAAAAAACAATGTAAAATGGAACAGCAAAAACACAAATTGGCATGCAAAATAGAATAACAGAGAAAAAACAACTTGGCATGCAAAATGGAATAACAGAGAAAAAACAGCTTGGCATGCAATATGAAGAATTAAGTTCATTTCTGAACTCAAATAATTCAAAAGTTCAACTGGAGTGACCAGAAATTTTGAATGCAATTCCTTTGTATATAATTTGTTCAGTACTTTATGCTTATAATGGGGAAATCATGACTGGAAGACATCCCAGAAATAAAAAGGATGAAGGATGGCACAGTGCTTGAAAAACAACCCTTCACAAGGCTCAGCACAGACAACCACATAAAAGGACACCCATGCCTACACATGGGAGACTAGGGTTGTAACAGCTTCATTTCATCTGAAGCAGATCCTCCACATCACCAAAAACATAATGCATTAATGATACTTCAGATGTAAATTTAATCTCAACTGCACGGAAGGAAAAAAAATGACAAGCCTTGTTTTTTATATGTATATATTGCAATTTTAATCCACCATCTGGATTTGAATTAATAAATTATTCAAATGCATACGAATAGTTAAAAACATGGTTAATCACCATAGGCCCACTAGCTTCTTAATATTCAAATTCCACATTTACAAATTACAAGTGAGCTCTTTCGAGTTTCAACTATGACATAGATGATCACAACGCATGACCAATACAAAGTTTAATACCTTGTGTCTCCAAGCTGTCCATGTAAGCTCCATCTTTGGCGAAATCCTTCCATGCCCTCAAGTCCACTAGCAAGAATCATGCGCCTATAATAGAAATATGAAAGCACATACAAGCAAAACTGATGAAATCGTGTGGATAAATCATTAGAAAATTCAGAAAATCCAATGATTCATTTTGTATGGTGCTGAATTATGGTTACAAGGTACTCTTACAAGTGTTTGGCCTTATTCCTGGTGATACTCATAGACTCATAGGTCTGTCAAGCACAAGAACAAGTACAACTCATCGGAACAGACAACCGCGTGTGGATTGTGAGGCCTAGGAAGATCCTGCCTGTAGTCTATCAGGCAGGAACCACGTAGTTCTCTCATATGCCACTAAATCCCCAGAGCAGATGCAGGCAATTATAAGTGTTACACAGAGCATTAGGTTAAGCACTATACAATAACCATCTAGGAATCTCAATCTGAAATTCAGTATAGTATATATAAATTATTTACGTCGCCTTTCTTTATGCAGTCTAAATGGCCATTTTCGTTTGATCTCATCAAAATATATGGCCTTACGTATTACCACAAGAAAACAGGCGCAAGGACATACTCTTGGAATGTCTAGTACAGTATCTCTTATTTAGGACCTGAACACTTCACACGGGCTCACAACAGTTGAATGTTAATCAGGAAACTGTATAAAACGAGCTGCTAATCACACTTTGATCATTGAATACATGTAGGGTAGAAGTGCCATGTTTGGCTACCTTTCAAGCAGTGTGATTTCTGATTGGAGTTGGGTAGCTCTTTCCTTAGCTTCTTCCAGGGGCATTGAAAAACCCAGCTTATATTCACTATCCTGCAGCCGCTCTCTTATTTCCTTGTCCTGTAAAAATAGGAGATAAAGTAACATGTTAAACAATAAGGGAAAATTTACCTGCCATTTTTCAAATAATTATAATACAACTGACCCTTTTCTCAGCACATTGTCGGTATAGTACAATTTCATCTTGGCAAAACGGCTCAATATCATTGATTTGCAGACCTGTAACATATAATTGCTTTATTATAGTACTTACTACATATGGAGTAAGGAAAGCATGATTTTTATGTCAGAGAAATCAGTAACTCACATAAGAAAAGATTTTTGAGTATGCCATCACAAATCTCAACACCGTCAAGGACATGTGAAGCAATTTCCTTTGGTATGACAGGGGATGGCAACCCACGCATGAGATCATCACCAACAAGAATGGTCTCTTCCATCGTTTCCTGCTTATCGACTGTTGAAAAATATGTATGAAAAACTACCATCATTTGCACAGGGCCACGAATAGAAGTTACACTTGAAATGCACGAACTTGGAAAGTAAGATCAGGTTCTCTGGCATGCTGGTTATACTGCATGATACTGACTAGAGAGTTAGTTCCTGACTGTGCCACAGTGGTTTATTAATGCTGAATTGCTGATAGCATAGGTCTGGTTCTTGCATGATCAGCAAAAGTCATCAGTTTTTTATGATCGAGAGAAAAAAAAGAGAGTTATTTCCTCACAGTTGCCATTACGAACTTCAAAATTAACTCAAGCCCAGGCAACTACAATCGCCACTAAGCTTGCATTAACAACCAACTGCACAACCTATGTGCTAAAACACAATTTGATCCTCCAAACTTTTTAGGCGGTTTGGGCAAGAGAGGATGACCAAGTTTTGTTAAGATTTACTTCCCCAACTGACACAAAATAAACAAAGCTTAACGAAATGGGAATGGGCAACAGAGCCAGCGCGTGCGTACCATCCATGATTGCCTAGTAAACCTTCACCTCCGGAGAACAATCAGATTTTGGCAACTCGAACCGACTTCTTGCAGCCAACAATCATGGAAAAAAAAACACCAGAAAATGTCAGCTTCGATTCGTCTTAGGGGAGGCGACGGGGAGCAGCGTGGGACGAATCACATACAGATACACCAACCAACCGGAGTGTCCGCGACGAATCCCGCGGGGAAATAGACCGGAGAAGAACCAGAAGGCGGCGGCGAGCGGCGACCGACGGCGCGCCGCGGAGGTGAAGGGGAGGAAGGAGACCGGAGGAGGAGAGAGGGTTTACGGCTCAGGTTTCCCCAACTCCTGCCGCTTGTGGGCTTTCTCCAACGAAGATATGGGCCTAAACAGTGGCCCATAGACTTGTCTTACGGCCCATTTATCGATAGCCCAGTGCAGGCATGAGGCATGAGGCACACGGTTCAGGTTTGCTTTTCTCGAGTACCAGTTCAAATTTCAAAACACCGAGAAAGAGTATGCTTTCTACTAGTACTATGTTTGATCGGCTGCTTACTGCTCCCTCCGTCCTAAAATATAAGTATTTTTAGCTATAAATTTAAACACATAGCTAAATGTTGTTATATTTTAGGGCGGAACAACGGAGGTAATAGTAATTTCTGGTGAACCACGTTTTTTCTCTCTATTTTGGATTGTGCCTGTCATGATTGTGTTTTACCATGTTGGCTCCATTTTCCTCGTGGTTGATTCATTAGCAGGCTGTTTTCACACCATGATATTTCTGAAAAATTCTGGGCTGATTTTCAGTTGTGAGATGGAGTATGACTGTATGAGATGGCAGAAACAGCCCGATGCCTACACGATGCCCGCTTTGCTCTTGCCGTCGGAGCAGCACCGCACGCATCCACGTAGTCCTGAGTCCTGACAATTTGACCGTTCTGCTAACACGCATACTACACCTGTGAGACCTCACATCTGTCTCAAGTCTTCAGGACAGAATTGTCTGTTATGTGTTCTTGCACAGCACCTGGCTACAAGCTTCCAACTCGCCCGTATGAACTTCTCTGAAATGGATCGCTGCATGAATCCCCTTACTCCGATCCGGGGGGCTTCAGTGCTACTAGGAGTGTTGTGAGATCTGCAAACAGTATCTACACACTGGCCTCTTGTTAACAGGAGCTACACATGCTTATTATCATTACTCATGAGTGGGCATTTTGCTTTCCTTTCCTGACTGTCCAACACCAACATCTCCACTTGCAATTTGCAGACTCAAACTGTATATGTCTGTGTCTACCTACCACTGTATAATGTTTTGTGAAATTCAAAGAACTGATAAGTACCGGCCTGTTGGGACATCATGAGAATCGACAGGTAGGCCAAGTACATTGCTGAATGTTGATTATTCCACACCGTTCTTGGATTCTCGATCTTATACGAAGTTTTATTTTATCTCAACCAGACGATGATACAATTCTGCAACCAACTCCATGGCTCCACCTCCATACTCCCATACTTCTACTCATAGTTGATACCATGATACTATCATATCGTGCTTTCATTGTATACCATCCAAGGATACCAGCATGTATTCAGGCTACTGTACGTACGTCACAGGTCATAGCAGCTGTTTCCTTGGGTACAGCCAAAACGACTCCATCAAGCAGGAGCACAGATGCATTTGTAAACGCCGTACTTGTCTTCTCATAAACACAAGCAGTACACAGTACACTCCTTACCATCTGCATTAGTTTCTCGCCTCCGGTTAATTTCCAGCACAGTGGGCGGTGAAATTTTTGGTGATCAATCTCTTTGCACGGTCTCTCGCGCCCTGTCCGACAGTTCTGTTTTAGTGGTCAATCCAAATCCGGCCCGCTCGTATGCATGCAGGTAATCTCTCTTTGTGTTAGTATTTAACACCGTGAAAGGACCACGCAAAAAGGCAGAGTTTCGACAGAAAAAACTCTAGCTGGTTAATGGCGTGTGTGACGCCTCACCTATGCGTGGCTGTACACGAGAAAATTAGTGCCACCCTTTTCAATCTATAGGTAAGCTACAAGTAACGTTAGGTGATGTACTGATGTGCCCGTGTTGACCTGCGTGGCATGAAAATCACTGCTAACAACTGGTCTACCACATATATAGCCGAAGCGAATTATGGCCTAGCTAGCGAGATAGATGCTGTAAGTAATTAACAAGAAATAAAATGGATTAGTTAGTACCTATATAGTCTAGAGATATTACGACGTTGGCCGTGCCAATCTCCTGTGTTACTGTGTGCGCCCGTCCAAACTTGCAACGCTCGAGCTGAGCAGATGATCTGCTGATGATGATGAGAGCTGATGAGCTGTAGAGAAGCTAGAGGCAGGCACGGCGCCGTGGAACACGTCGATACTTCTCCTCGCGGAGACGAAGGATGCATTGCGTCCGCTGTACACGCCCATGCGCTGTCCCCCGGTAGTAGCAGCGGATCGTGACATCGTGTTGAACCGGCAGAAACATCCAAAACGAACTGATACTACTAGCAGCAGCTAGTACTAGTATTATTAGACGAGAGGGCCCCGGCACCAGTCACTGCAGGTTAAGCGCACACGGCCTCGCGAGTCTCTGTAGATATGCACGATCCGTCTTATCTCTTCTCTGCTCCTGAGGCCGGCCGTGAGAGGTTTAACGGGATTCCTTCGTTGGTGTAGTAGTAGACGTGTAGTCCTGTTTGCCTCGCGGTCGCGGGCTAGCCAAAAAAAAAAAAAAAAAGCCTTGGATACCTCCGCGGCGGCATGTGGCACCCGCCCCACCTGCGAGCGCGCGTGATACGCGTATTTGTGTGTCGCGCCTTGTCCGCATCCATCCGACGATTTCCGATCCGATGCAGCGAGCGACCGCGCGCGCGCTCCGCCCCGCGGCCCGCGCCAACGTGTGCAGCTGCGTTTCCGTGCGCCCAGCCCCGGTTGCGCTAGCCGCTGTTGCTGCCGTGCTACGGGCCTACGGCGTACTCCTTCGTCCAAAAAAAAATCAAATTCTGAATTTATGTGTCTAACTTTAACCATCCGTCTTATATCAAATTGTTTTATAATTTGTATTTTCATTGTTGTTAGATGATACTCCCTCCATTCCAAATTGATCTACATATAGTTTTTTAAGTTATTCCTAAATGATCTATATATTTGTGTTTATTTATTAAGTCTATTCGTTATTTGTGCATTGGAGTAAATGGACATTTATGCATGCATCCATGCACACAAGTATTTATAAACCACATGCAATATCTTGATTTACTATTGGCTATGAAATAGTAGAGATGGTGCATGCATCGATTTTGTTACTAGAGTAAATATAGTATGAGAGATTTATTAACTTTTCTTGGTCTTGGTGTACCTATGAAATATGTAGATCAATTTGGAATGGAGGGAGTAAAACATGATTAATATTTTATGCCTGACTTGTCTTTTTAATTTTTTTCATATTTTTTTTAAATAAGACGGACGGTCAAATGTTGTACACAGAAACCGGAGTTTGTCTTTTTTTAGACGGAGGAAGTACGTCGTGGAGAGACGGACGCTCGGGGTGCGGGTGGGGGGGGGGGGGGTCCCCGGCACGGAAGGAGATCGTTGCTGTGGCCGAGAGCGATCGGTCGCCTCGCGCGCTTTCTTTGCCTCGTTGCTGTGGCTGCGAGCGACCTTTCCGTACGACTAGGAGAAGAGAGGAAGAGATACTCCTCCTAGTAGTAGATTCCACTCTACGGGAGGCCAGCCGGGGCCCCCGTTTTGACACACGGTGAAGGCGAACGATCCCCCTGTTTCCGCGGTACGAGTCGTACCGTACGCGCGCCGCGGTGGATGTGAGGGTGAAACGGCTAGCGAGGCTATGCAAACGAGCAAATCGTGGTTGGCTGGTACACGGTTGAGCCGACACGAGCTCACTGATCAGCAAGCCACATATTGGGCCATTTCGATCAGGGGATGACTTGTTTGATGAGAAAATTTAAAGTTCGCTTGGACTTTATACGAGCCACGCTACGCTAGCTTTCGCCTTGTTTCTCTCCAAGAGATGACGTGCATGCTACTGCTCTTGTTTAACTTTTCGAACATGATCTCTTTTTTGAAAGATCAAACGCGATCTCAACTTGTGGCTAGTCCGGTAGTACCACGGAGCGTCCGTTTTGAAATGCTAAAAAATCGTTGATAATACTCCCTCTGTACCAAAATAAGTACAGTTTTACACTATTCACGTTCAACGTTTGACCGTTCATCTTATTTTAAAAATTTGTATGATTAGTATTTTTATTGCTATTAGAAGATAAAACGTGAATAGTACTTTATGTGTGACTAAATATTTTTAAATTTTTCATAAATTTTTTAAATAAGATGGACGGTCAAACGTTGAACACTGATATCTATGGCTACACTTATTTTGGATTTTGGTACGGAGTGGTATATGCCAACATGGGAGTGGTTACATCTTCAGGCGGCAGAAGAAAATCCAGAGGATTGTGACGATCGAGGTCGTGCACAGTTCAACCAATATACTACTGCTTCGATTGTGATTTGCGCACACATTAGTAAACAAATAATACTGTACTGTACTAGTTTGGATTCGTCTAAAAAAATTACCAGTCTACATACTATGAGCCTTGTTAATTTTGATGTCATTTTTAACCTTACCAAGTTTTGGTAAAGTTGTTAAAAAATTATCTACATTTAGTTTGCTGCTAAATTTTAGTAACTATATAAAAAATACTACTAAAATTTTGGCAAGTGCAATAGGTTTTTTTTTATCAAAGTGAACATGCCCTATAATAATTTAATAACATACTGTACTAGTATCAACTTGCAGTTGGTAGTACCGAACAAGTACTACAAGCCATGCTTGCTTTTCTAGCTAGTCACCTGAATTCGCAAGCTTAAAATTTCAAAACACCTTAGGCAAACTGACATATGGGCCCATGGAAAGAAAACAAGAAGAATGGCGTTTTATTGGTTACTACTAACCATAATTTTTTACTTAACTTTAATCGTCCGTCTAATTTAATTTTTTTAAAAAATTAAAAACATAAGCCACGTATAAAGTACTACCCATATTTTATTATCTCATAAAAATAAAAATATTAATTATAAAAAAATTTCAAATAAGACGGACCATGAAAGTTGAACACGGAAACTCACGGTTGCACTTATAATGAGACGGAGGTAGTATCCATTGTTTTTAGAGAACAGAACAAAATGAAAACTACTCAACTATTGAAAAAAATCATTACCGACGTAACACTAATTTAGGGTTGCCTCACAAGTCCCAACATTCAAAATGGTTATAGGTTTTTCATGGCAAAAAAAAAAGTCTGTAGGTCTAGAAACA